CAAGCTCATTCTTCTTTACTGGGACATATATCTGCGCATTCTGGTCTTTTGAAAATCTCATAGTCACTGTCTGTTGAGCACTAGAATCTAACATAGAACGAATCTCATCTTCTCAATTCTACATAATCAATATTTTTCCTAATACATTCCATCTTTAAAAAAAATGGCATGATCAGATACTCCAGTCGGATATCTTCAAATATACAAATTATATCAATTACCATCTTGCACATCCAATTAATTTTTGTACATTTCATAAAATACATCTTACCCCCTCCCCTATCTGCACCACCCATAGCTCGCCCACTGAATTTCATTCATTCCGTCACATATGTAAAGGCCTATTGAGTCAAGTTTGTGTACCCAGATGTCCCTTGGAGTGAGTTAATTCACTGGAGTCTGTTCAGCCTATCTAGTGTCAGTCTCTTAATGAAGACCAACTCTCCCTAACCCAGAAATGATAAACTACGAATAGTTCCTCAGCTAAGATTGAAGCCTTCTATCCATTTCCCCAGTTGTATGATGAATTTTTGTCTGATTGAGTGTGCATGGGTCTGGTGTATACTGTCACCATTGCTGCAAGTTCATAGGAGCAAGTTCCCAGAAGCCTGGAATACTCTGTTTCCTTATCATCATGCACAACCTCTGGCTCTTACAATCTTTCCATCCTTCTTATGCTAAGGTCCCTGAGCCCTGGGTGGGTGAGGTTTAGTATAGGAGTCCTATAGGATTATTTTTTCTATTCCTGTGAAGAATGTCATGGGAATTTTGATTGGAATTGTACTGAATCTAAAAATTGCTTTTGATAGGATAATCATTTTCATATTAATTCTACCAATCCATGAGTATGGGCGATCTTTCCATCTACTATTATCTTCCTCAATTTCTTTCTTTAGAGATTTAATGGCTTCATTGTAGAGGTCTTTAACAGTTTTGGTTAGGTTTACTCCTACATTATTTTTTTCTTAACATTGTTTTTATTGAATTTTGTGTATTTCATATAGAATATCTCAAACAATCTTAATCACCTTTACATCCCCATCCCCACTGGCATCCCCCTATATCCCCCCTCACTGAAACTCACATACTCTTTCCCGGGTATTAAGGCCCACTGAATCAAATCAGTATCCCCAGACGTTCCCCAGTGCAAGTCCATCCACTGAGGTCTAGTCAGCTTATCTAGAGTCCCTTGTTTTAGGAAGATCAGTTGTTCCTCACCTAGCAGTGATCAGTTTCCAATATTCCTTCATCTAAGATTGGGGTCTGCTGTTCATTTCCCCAGTTCTATGCTGCATTTTTGTCTGCTGAGTTTGCATGGGACTTGTGTATGCTGACACCATTGCCATAGAATCATATGATCAGGGTACCAGGAGCTTGTAGGACTCTGTTTCCATATGCACCTCTTCCCTGGCTCTTACAATCTTTTCACCCCCCTCTTCCACAATGCTCTCTGAGCCCTGGGTGGGTGACGTTTAATATAAGAGTCCTGTCCAAGGACCAGCATTCTGCAGACTCTTAATCTCTACATTTTGGCCATTTGTGACCTTTTGTGTTCCTGACCCTCTGTTGCATGAGGGAGCTTCATTAATCAGAATTGAGAGATTCATTAGTGTACTCTTCTTTACCCCTGTAGTATGTTCTGTGTGCCTTAGATGTAGGGGCTGCATTGTAGATGTGTCGCTAAGGCTCGGGCAATTCATAGACAATGTCTAGGTCTGTGTGTGACCAGTTGTAGTACTTGGTCTCTAAGGGGTACAAAAATGAGCTTCATTGATGAGTGGTGACTGGGATATTTGACTGTAAATACAAGGATATATATTTTGCACATAGTAAGAAATTACATTATTCTAGGGGTGTGATAGTTGGGGTTTTCTCTCTAAGATCTATGACCACCCTAGCCATGTGTATTTGGTTATGTTTACAGTACCACACTTGAGTTTCCTCCCTCTGAGTGGGCTTTTAGTCCAGTTAAGTAGCTCGATTGCTTCCAAGATAAAAATGGCACTACTGCACCAATGTGGTATGCTGTGCCAGTCACTGATGTGGTTATTTGGTCTTGAAGCTAGTGTTGGACCATTGATCGATGTCTTTCTTCCCTTGGCACCTTCATATTGCTCTCCAAAGTTATGAGAGTCATCCTTTTTTAGGCTATTATGAATGGCAGTCTTTCTATGATCTCTTTCTCAACTGCTTGTTGGCATATAGAAAGACTACTGATTTTGTATGCTGGTTTTATAGCTTGGCACTTGCTGACAGTGTTAATTTCTAGAAGTTTTATGGTGGAATTTTTGAGATTTCTTATGCACAATATACCATCTGTGATTAGGGATAATTTGACTATTAGTGCCCCTTTAATGTCCTTCTCTTGTCTCATTGTTCTAGCTAGAGCTCCAAGCACTACTGAAAAGGAATGGAGATAGTAGACAGCCTTGTCTCATTCCTAATTTTAATGGGATTTCTCTGAGTTGTTATTCATTTGGAATTATGTTGGCTGTGGGTTTGTAATCTATAGCCTTTATTATGTCCCCTCTGATAGTGGGAGTTTGTGGGTTTTTTTTTTTTTTTTTTTTGGTGTTGCCCAAACTTGGTTGATTTCAAATCAGATCAAGTAGAGTCTGTAAGTCAGTCTTTCAGATTCTTGGTGTTGCTTTCTGATTGGAGAGACTGGGGTCATTCCAATTCAGTGGTTATCAAGAAGGTACAAGAATGCAGCTCCCAGCTATGTCTGGGCATGGAAAGGCGGTGTGGGACAAGGGACCCAGGTAAATACAACGAGAAAGCATATTAGTCAGGTTCCAGCCTGGAACTAGATGTGGAAAGGTGACCCAGAGCCAAGGGATCTGGGCAGATTAAGTAAGAAAGTGTGCTGAGCTACTCCCAGCTGGGTCGGGTATAAAAAGGCAGCATGGGGCAGAGGACATGGAGCAGACTCAGGGAAAGAACATGTTATTTGGATTACTACTGTCTGGGACTGGAATGTAGAGGGGCTGCACTTAGCAAGGTTTGGCACAACTCACTGAGAAATTTTGGGTGTGAGTGCAACTTCCAGGTGGTCCTGCACCGAGAAGAGCATGGAGCAGCAAAGCCCTGGTGCAGATTCACTGAAAGCACGCTTCCTTTGGTGCAACTCTCAGCTGGGCCTGGGTGAGTAGAGGCAGCAGGGGGCAAGTGTATGGATGACTCATTTACAGTGTGCTCCTCAATGCAACTCCTGCCTGGGCCTGGGGCAGTGTGGGGCAAAGGTTTGGAGGTGTGACTCAACCAGAGAGTGAACAGGTGAGGTCACCTTCTTTTTAAAAATAGAAGTATGGCCTTTTTTGAGACAAAATCTCTTTGTAGTCCAGGCAGGGTTCAAATTCAATCCTTCTGGCTCAACATCTTGAATATCAGAATTACAGGTATACACTACCACATCTGGTTTGATCGCTTCTTCTTTATTCCTATAGATGAATTATAGGCACAAGGGATAAATTCTTGTTTGTACAGGATCGTACTTTAGCCTGGCATAGTGGTACATGCCTTTAATCCCAGCATTTGGTATGCAGAGGCAGGCAGATCTCAGATCCAGGGCACCCTTCTCTACAAAGCAAGTTCCAGGCCAGCTGGGGCTACAGAGAGACCATGTCTCAAAAAGACATAATAAAGAATCATTATCTGTCTCCCTGAATCTCGTACCTGCTCTTTCCTATTTTTGGAGCACCCTTTTGCTAAGTCTTATTTCTTCTTCAGGTGCCAAATTACACAGCATTTCTTCTGAGAAAGGTTAGTATTTTTTGCTTTGAGCCTGCAGAGCTGAATGAATCATGACTATCATAAAAATTAGTACATTTTGTTGGAATTTCATACACAGAGCTCTGTGAACACAGAGGCCGTGTCATATTTGCTCAACCCATGTGTAACCAGAGGTAGTATAAGTCCTGACCCAGTGGTCTGAGTGGTTTTCCAAAGTAAGTTGTAAGGCAAGGCATTAGATAAATGGAAGTGTCTCCCTATTTGTGTACCAGGCTAACACTTTATAGAAAAACACAAAGAACTCATGATTTTCCTAAATGACACACAATAAAGGCTTTTTCTTCACAAATCAATTATACTAATATTTAAGTGAGAATTAGGTAAAGGTTTCATTGTTCTAAAGAGGGCATATTAGGTAATTTTTACTTCTTAAATATAAATTTTATTGTATATATTTAACACATACAACATGTATAGGTAATGAAACACTTTAGTGAAGCAAATTAATATGTTCATCATCTCATACTTCATTTTTTTACAGTTTTGGGAATGAGAAGCTGGGGTTTGTTTTGTTTCATGGAAGAATAGCGACTGCATCCTACATATCTAGGGGATCAAACTCAAGTTGCTGGGTTTAGTGGCAAGAACCATCCCACCAGCCCCCTATGATTTTATTTCCCTCACTCATTCTTGTCAACTTCAGTAAAATCTCATTAAAAGTTACAGAGTAGTATTCAACATGCTGTAAGAAATGGGGGAAGGGCAAGGATACACTATGAGGTAAAAGGTAAAGAGGAAGCAGGATTCCCTTCCCTATATCTAAAGCAGTTAAAGTTCACCATTAGAACAGTGTCCAGAGGAACAGCAACTTTAGTAATAATTAGATTGCTGAAGATTCAGAGAAAATGAACATTCCTTTTGAAAGGTAAGACTGTATAGAAGGCCTATTTGTGGCCAATATGCTGCAATTGTATATCTTCAGAGATAACCCATCAGTTTTAGGGTCACATGACATCCGAAAGCAGAAAGCAGGGAGCAATAAATACTGCTGCTGCTCAGCCCCTTTAGCCACTTATTCAGTTCAGAGTCTCATCCAAGGAATGTTTCCACCCACAATAGGCAAGTCTTTCTATCTCATTTAACCTAATCAAGGCAATCTGTCCACAGGAATTCAGAGAGCCAACTCTGGTGATTCTAGATTTGGTCAAGTTTACCAATACTAACCAGCACGCCGTGAATTGATATTTTACCTGTGGCCTCAGGGCTTGGTGAATAAATAATCTGTGGAGGAATTACAAAGCAGGCCTATGCTGCCTTGCACCAACCAAGATTTGGTTAATAGAGCTTTGTCTAGATTTCACAACCAAGTTTTCTGTTTAGTTTTCCATTTTTTTGCATATCAGAAGGAGCACAAATTCCATAATGACCCAAGCATTAGCGTAAAATTTTCTAAAGAAGAGCATGGTGTTTTGTGGAGTGTGCTTAGTGGTAAAAGCATCATGGACTTTTTGGAAGCTTTCTGGTGGATGGGACTCACTGGTGCCATCCTATTTTGACTTACATATGGTTATAGTTGCAGAGAAGAAAGAATAAAAAGAGCGTGTGTGTGTGTATTTCAAGCTTGATTATCTCTGGGGAGATGGGTCATGTGTAATTTTTATTCATTTTCATTTTCAAAATTTTATGAAGATGAAGCAATTTTGTAATCAGAAAGAAATGATAGTTTTAAAAAGAAATATAAAATGAGGTATGCTGTTCCATCTGGGATCTTAGCTTATGTTTACCATGATGTCTACTCCTGTATGGCTTAATCCTTTTGCATATGTTAACTAGGGGTCTTCCAAGAAAAGAATTCTTGAAAAGAGAAGAGCAGTGAGTCAACAGGTTTAATTCAGGAAAAAAAGATAGGATTTTGGAGAGAATTTAACTTTCTGTAATGCAGATTAGTATTCTTACCAGCCATCCATACTTAAATTCTAAGAGAGAGGTGGCCTACAAGTAAACTCTAAGGAATACTTTTTTAATTTTTATTACGGAAAATTTCAAACATATACAAAAGTATAGAGAATAATCATGAATTCTCAAACACAGCTTCAACAATTATCAAATCAGAGCCAATTTTGTTTCATCTACATACAAGTTTATACCACCCTGATTATATTGAAAAAAATACCAGTACCATGTCTGTAAAATTTTCAGTACAGTTTTCTATCTAAAAGATAAGGATACCACACCTTAAAAACCCAGTAAATCATAAGGATGTGTTTCTATTTTAAATTCTGTAAGATATGGGGACACAATCAATACATTTCACTGGTACCACGAGGAAGGGTGTAACACTAAAATGGAGTTCAGACCTTTCCCAATGTAATGCTTTATAATGAAAGAGAAAAAAACACAACTATGTTAGAGCCTCTTTGGAACCTCTGCAAAGAGCTGAAGAAGAGTGTTGACATCACATGCTCTGTGGCAAAACTCCATGAAAGTTCCTCTAAACATCTTTGTCTTATGATTTCATAAATTTGTTCTTCTGGAAAGAGTTGATCCAAGTCCCATCATTTAAGTCCTTCATTTTGTGTTCTCCCTTTACAGAAGTCTCTTTCCAAATAGCCTAAGTGACACCAATTTAGTGTTCTCAGCCCTCTGCATTTTACATGCAGAAAGTAGGCGGCACCAAGAAGTTGACTAAGTGATAAAAATCACAGCACACTAAAAGAGGGGGAGAGAGGCTGAAGACACCCAGAAAAACTGAATGACATAATTAATTTTGGAAACTGCCTATACGCCAGTTTTTCTTGGTGCTTGCCATAAAAAAATACAGTATGTCAAATCTGCAAAATGAAAAATAACCTAGTATTTTCTGGAAGGAGATGTTAAAATGACATGAAAGAAGTGGTTAGGGCATTGCAAAAAATTTAATGCATTAGTTGTATATCATTTTAAATTTTATTTTTATAAAAACTTACAATTATATGTGTTCACTGTAGTTTTTACAATTGTCTTTATAGCAAGTGGTTTTATTGAATAAAATTTTAAGCAAGTGACAGTACTAAAGTTGTTACATGAAGGACTGAGTCTATAAAATTGAAGTGATGACATGATATGAAACTGTGCCAGCCACTGTGTGGTATAGCATAGAAATCTGAGTAATAGTTCTTGTCCTTGAACATTTTAAGCCATCTTAAAACATTATGAAAATACCTGATACACATAAGCCACACACATGGTGCTTAAACAGCATATACTCTATTAGCACCAGATTGGAAGGGAAACGTTTTGCCACAAAGTTATCACAAAATACTAATTGAGTCAAAGACCTTCAGTGATGCCAACCATATTTCAAGTAGTGTCTAGGCTGCAGGGTATGCAGAGTAAGGAAAAATATCTTTGCTTTCGAAGAGAACTGTCTAATGAAGAAGGCAGACACATCAGAAAAGCACACAAAAGGCTATAGGTGCTGAATTAAGTCTGTTCATGTACAATAGTACAACAACCAGAGCAAAAAAGTTGGTAGGATAGACTGAGGAGAGTCCCAAGACGTAGGAAAACTAGATGAGTTGTCTCCTTGGGAACCTTAAAAGTACTCCTGTGAACTTGACAATACCATTGAATACTGGATTCACATCAATGATTATTTCAGAGCAATCTTGAACATATTTACTGTTCATCTGGAAAAAGAAACAAACATACATTTAGCAGGTGTATATTAACAATTCTTCCAACCAGCAAAGTTATTAAGGTCATATTAGATGCATCAAATCACTTGGCATTTAGAAAGCCTTAAGGCAGGTTCAGGGGGAGCCTGGATCAGCAGTTGAGGGAATTGCAGGTGCAGACACAGACACATGGACACACAGATACACACACACAGTGGTTTCCTGACAGTTGAGGAAATTAGAGGTGCACACATACACAGACACAGATATAACACACACACACGCACGTGCATACACACTGGTCATGCACACATACACACTGGTCACGCACACACACTGGTTTCCTCTCTCTTTCTCTCTGACACACATATACTGAGAGAGAGAGAGAGAGAGAGAGAGAGAAAGAGAGAGAGAGAGGCATAAAAAGTCAGGCAGTCAATGATTTGAGAGGGAGAGAACTTAACGTGTAAAAACCTACAAATTCCACATTCTAGACTCTAAACTTAATAGGAATTCAGATTGGAGACCATACAGTAATATAAATTGTTTAAGTCTAATAAATTCTAAGACTATTACACAGAACAGGGTTTCTTAACCAGTCAAAAAAAATTTCTTATCGGAGATATTTCTAAAGTATCTATTTATAGCATCTAAATTTTTTAAAAAATATTTTATTATTTTTATTTTTCATGTATGAATGTAATTCCTGCATGTAAGTGCACACGTGTTGTGCAATAACAGCAGAGGTCAAAAGAGGGCATCGGATTCCCTGGAATCAGAGTTACAGAGAGTTGTTAGCCACCATGTGGATGCTGGGAATCGAACACAGGTCCTCTGCAAGGGCAGCCAGTACTCTTAACCACTGAGCCATCTCTCTAGTCCCACAAAGACAAGTTTTTAAAAAACCTGATTGTCAGATAATTAGGTAACTTGGATGGAATTTATAGTGTAAGAATTGCAAATAGGTCTGAATTCCAAGCACCAATGTAGTCTTTACCACATCCTGTTCTCTCAGAGTGCTGTTTCCACAAAACATGTATAAACTGTTACATATAGTATAGTTGTCAGGAGACAAGTACCAGGAAAATATTAAGTCTAAAGGTAAAAGCTTTAGTTAGAGGAAAAAATTTACCTATATAATAATTATTATATTTTATAATCCAACAGGAAGTCATATAGAAAGCTTTGCAAATAAAACCGTATCATTCAACAAAAAACCTATCAGTTATGGGGTTGGAGAGATGGCTCAGCAGTTAAGAGCATTGGTTGCTCTTGCAGAAACCAGGGTTTGATTCCCAGCACCAACAGGGCAGCTAACAACCATCTGTAACTCCAGTTCCAGGGGAATCTGTTGCCCTCTACTGACCTCCACAGGCATTGCATGACACATATGCACTTACAATCATGCAGGCAATACACTCATACACATAAAATAAAAATAATAAAATATTTTAAGAAAAAACTTATTAGTCATTTCAAATGATTTTATACAAAGTAACAAAGCGAATGATTTATAACAATTTCCTATCTTGTTTAAGTTATATCCAAAATTTTATGTTCCCAGTACATGTACATACCTATATTAACATGTTTTCTTTTTATACATCTGGAAGAACAAAACATTTGACCAGGGGGCTGGGAGCATGGCTCAATGGTCCTGTACAGGTTCAGCATGCATAAGGCCCTGGGAACAATCCCTAGTTACCACCAAAATCAGCAACAAATCATTTGAACCAATGAAAATGGAAAATGAAAGCTATTTATAAACCATGGAAAATATGCTGGGCGTGGTGGCTATTCCCAGCACTCAGGAGGCAGAGGCAGGCAGATCTTTGTGAGTTCAAGGCCAGCCTACATAGTGAGTTCCAGTACAGCTGGAGCTACAGGGAGACCCTGTCTCAAAAAGACAAAAAAAAAAAAACAAAAAACATGGAAAATAAACTTCTGATTCATATCTGCAAATCAGTTATTGAGTGGAATATTCTTCCTTTTTCAGCTGAGGGATGGTTATAAGATTTGGCTGTACATTTTAGTACAATCATAAACATAATGTATAAGTGACTTAACACTCTCAGAAGGGAAAAAATACCCAGTTGTACATCAGGTTTTGAACAACTGAGCTGACAGAAAAATCAATATACTATGTCAAGTCAACTGTTTAATTATGAGACTATAGAAAAAGTCTTGAAGAGAAAAATAATTTTATGGAGCTTTTAACATAGTTTTAAAAACTGCATAAATGATTCTGAAAGTGAAACCTAAAAAAGTATTATTTTTCAAAAAGGGGGAAATGCACAGCATATTTGTAGGCTAATAACTATTAAAATGTATTATGCTTCTGACACTGTAAGGTACATAATTTAAGAATCAAGTAAGAGGGCCAATACGATGGCTCAGTGGGTAGAAACACTTGCCACCTAGCTTGACAACCTGAATTCAATCCCTGGGATCCACATGGTGGAACGAGAGAACTCAGTACCAAAAGTAGTCCTCTGACCGCTGCACACACATGCACATACACCATGGCACTCACGCACCCACATAAATACACACAAAGAGTAAATAAATGGATTCAATACAAAAATAAGGTAACATATTACTGGCCCTAGTAATACCAAGTACAAGTTAAGCTTCCAATAGATTTCTAACAGCATTCCTGAGGAATGAGTTTTATCGACAAAAATATCCATGAGGCGGTACAGATAGGGGAGGGGGTCTAAATATGATTAAGACATATTGTATGAAATGCACAAAAAATCAATAAAAATATACATTTAAAATTCCATAAAACAGAATTCAATGTTTGTTGTGCCAACGTCAATGTATAGTGAATAACTAGATTACTGGGGATAAAACTTTAGCATCTATTTGAAATTGTTTGACTAGTAAGTCATTTGGATTACAATTAAAATATGTGCTTGTTTAAAGTAAACAGAATAAAACTTTCCTTAATTTGAAAAAGCTACCTGTTTCCAAGTTTACTCTCTTTCCTTTGGTAATAGGTCAGACTATGTTTCGTGAAATGTGGCTTAAAATTTTTCATAAAGGGGAACCACATTTCTTTAGAAAAATACAATGACCCCACTTTTAGAAGCCTAAAAGTAATTTGTGAAATAATAAAAACCAAAATCTCTCTCCTCTCTCCTCTCTCTCTCTCTCTGTCTCTCTCTCTGCCCCCCCTCCCCCACCCCGACCTATCCTGGTATTAAAAGACAGGAGCCCAGTATAATGATAACAATAAATGCAATGGCATTGAGGTTAGAGACGCTGTGAATTTCTGGAGCTAGATACTAATATTCTTCATGTGTCACTAAGTACAAATTGATTTACATAGTCAGGCTTTCTAATACTAGTTTTCTCCTAAATAGTTATCATACTAAAATGACTCCTAATGACTCTGTTATACCCATAAGTTAATGCATCTCTCAACTCTCAGGAGAGAAACTTTCTTATGCAGCAGATAGTTATTAATAAGAAACCCACAACTGGCCAATGTGCAGAGAACAAGAGGCTTATCCATGAATAGGACACCTATATCAAACCAAGGCTCAGGGATCATTGCAGAAGGGGAGGCAGAAACAGTGTAAGAGCCAGAGGTGGTGGATGACCACAAGGAAACAGTCTTCAAACAGCTGCTCAGTTACTCATATGAACTCACAGCAGTGGTAAAAGCATGCACAAGTCCCATGCAAGCTCAAACCAGACAAAATCGCTGCACAGACATGGGGAAGTGGGTAAGAAACCCTAACTCAACCTAAGGAAATTTTGGCAACCCATGGCTGCTGAGAGTGGGAGAGACAGTCTCTTTCAAGGATGGGATTCTTCATACCAGGCTCCAGAGGATGGACCAACACTGAAGGACTTTAGGGGAGATAAATTAGACTCTTATAGGCCACTTAAGGATATAGTGTGGTGCAGATAGGGGAGGGGACTTAAATACCATCAAGTTATATTGTGTGAAAACTGCAAAAATTCAACATATATTAAGGAGAATTTCTATCTTCCTAATTAGACATAGCAGGGCAACTGAGGAGTACCAGAAGAAACAACAACATACTTCAGAGGGGAATTCTTTTTTCTTTCTGTTCATGTATGTGTGTGTGTATATATATATATATATAAATATATACATATGTATATATACATATACTTTCAATAATATATATTATTGAATTTTTCTGCATTTCATACAATATCTAATCATATTTAGACCCCTCCCCTATCTGCATCTGCCCCATAGGTTCCCATCCACCACATTATATGCATTCTCATGCATGTTAAAGTCTATTGAATCAAGTTGGTGTCATCAGATGCCCTTCAGTGTGAGTTCATATACTGGAGCCTTTTCTGCCTATCTAGCCTCACTTCCTTAAAGAAGACCAACTCTCCCTCACCTAGCAGTGAACAGCTGCCAATAGTTCCTCAGCTAAGTTTGTGGCTTCTTAGCTATTTCCCCATTTCTATGCTGGGTTTTTGTCTGATTTGAGTTTGCATGGGTCTTGTGCTGTCCCCATTGCTGGAAGTTCAAATGAGCAAGTTCCCAGCTGCCTGGAAAACTCTGTTTTATTATCGTCATCGACCACCCCTGGCTCTTACAATCTTTCTGCCCCCTCTTCCACAATGGTCCCTGAGCCCCAGGTGAGAGGAGTTTAATATAGGAAGGACTCCTTATTTCTACCAACCACCTAAAAGTAAGAAGTCCAGATACAGGAACCAAAAGGTTTGTTGCATGGAAAGAAAAATTTGGGCCAGGTAAGATAGGTTTGTTTTTGTGTGTCCTTACAAGTTGAGACAAGCAAGAATATAAACTTAATCATATGGGGGGGAGGGGCAATCACCATAAAACATTTCCCTGGTTACTGCAAGTCTATGGGGTTTGTAAGTTATATGTGAAATGGCCATTTAATATCAGTAATAAAAAGTTAACAATTCTGAAAATTTCTTGAAAATTAAATGGCCTATATAGAAATACACAAAGTTCTTCCAGGGGGTATATTAGATCACATTTCTGAGGCTAAAGTACTCTTTACATAGAAGAAAAGATGTAAAATTGCCAATTTTTCCTTATTCTTCTAACTTAAATGAATAATCTGAACCAACTTCTACCTAGAATTGTGAGGAAAGAAGACTATGAATGAGAAAACAAGGATTAAAAAAAATGATAAAAAGATGCCCACTCAACCAAGCGGGTGGGACATTAAAGACCTCTACTATGAAATAAATCACAAGCCTGACATTAAAAGTGGGCACGCACATTCAAGCATAAACGTCTACGAAGGGTGTCAACAAACCCCAACCAAACAAAAACCTCACAGGACAGGCAACTATAGTCTCTGCCTTTAGGTTCTCTCTCTCTCTCTCTCTCTCTCTCTCTCTCTCTCTCACACACACACACACACACACACACACACACACACACACACCCAGTCCTCCAAGAGCTGGGCTAGCAGTTAAGGCACCTTTCAACGAAATTCCATGCTGCACTGTCTGGTCACAGCATTTTACCATATCACCAGGAAGCGGTTTGAAAGCATCTGAAAAACGTGCAAATTGTCTGCAAACACCACCTGGCAACCGCGGCAGTTTGCAAGCGTGATTCAGAGGTCTGCCTGCCAAGGAAACAAAAGAAGCCTCCCTCCTGCCCCCATGACCACACAGGGCAGGAGAGGTGCTCTCCTGGCAGGCAGGCGCGGGCAAGCAGGCGGGCGGGCTGATGGGCAGGCGGGCGGCATGGGAAGAGAGGCGACAGCCAGGCGTCCAGGCGGGAGCGGTACATACTAAGGGTCGCTCTCCGGCTGCAGGGACAGGGCCGCGGAGTTTCCATTAGTCGGGGAGCCGCCCAGCTTCAGTTTCTCCAGGTACTCGGCGTGCACGGGCTTGTGGCACTGGAGGACCTTGATGGCATCTTCGATCTTGAACCACTCTCGCTTCCTCCCGATGCTGACCGAGTCTTCCCAATCCTCCAGCAGCTCGGTGACGGTGAGCACGAACACGTACGTCCTGTGCTTGCGGTCCTGGTTCTGCTCGAAGACGCCCAGCAGCCGGCCCAACTTCCCCTTGACGCCCGCCTCCTCGTAAACCTCGCGCACCGCCGCACCGTCCGGCTCCTCCTCGGGCTCCATGCCCCCGCCAGGCACGATCCAGCGGTCTGGGTACCTGCTGCTGCTCACCAGCAGGACCTCGTCCTCACGCTCGCTGCGGAAGCACAGGCACGCCGCCCGCTTCTTAAAGCCCTCGGGGTCGTAGGTTCGCGTCTGGTTTGGCTTGCACTTCATTCTCGGCGCGGCCCCCGCGGCTCGCAGTTGCGGGACGCCGCCGCGCAACCCAGGAGCTGGAGCAAAGGAAGGGCCAGGCGCGGGATGCAGAGCCAGAGGCGAACCGGAGCCGAGCCGGAGCGAGCCGAGCCGGTGCGAGCCGAGCCGAGCCGAGCCGGTGCGAGCCGAGCCGAGCCTGAGCGTGCCGAGCCGAGCCCGAGCCGAGGTGGGAGGGGCGGGGTCTCGGAGCAGAGGTGTGTTGCGGGGTGTGCAGCTGCCGCGTCAGTTGGGGTCCGCAGCGCAGACACAGCGCGCCAAGGGTCGTGAGCCCAAAGGAGCTTCCGGCCGGGAGCCCAGAGCCCGCGCCTCCTCACAAACCCCACAGGCACCGGGGCACCGCTCCCGCCATTGCTGCGCTTGCGCGCTCTCACTGGAGCCCTGGCCCGGGTAAAGCTAGATGAGGCGCCGGTGCTTGCACGTGTGCAGCAGCGTCCGCATGCGCGCTCCAGACGGAGGGCGGAGAAGGCGGGGGTCTCTGTCTCTGGGCTCCCACAGCAGAAGAAGAGCGGGCCCAGTGCGCAGGCGCCCCGCACCTCCGGGCCCACAAACCTCTCTGGTAGCACACAGGGAACTTGGGACATCCACTCCGTTGTGACTTTGCGGAGGGTCTTCCCCGTGTTCGTGCCTCAGCCAGACGTAGCCCTGAGAAACAGGCATGCAGATCTCTGCACACACCGCGGGGTTGAAGATAGCGTCATGGTCCTCTCCGGTTATGAACAGCACTGCCTTATTTATAGGAAGAAGGCCCTCAGAATGACTGATGACAGTCTTAGTAAAATCATCTTTGCTGAGTCAACGCGCAGTTTGCTTTTTTCAACAGGTTGTCAGCCATCTTAGCTTAGACCTCAGTTTCCCCATGACTCTGCTTCTTACCCCTTGCAAGTGGAAGCTGGAGAAACACCCCCACAGTCTTGGATTCAATCACAAGAGTTTCCACCCCCACACCCTGCACTCTAACCTGGCTTTCTACTTGATGAGCAACTGGGGGTTTGGGAAAGCTCAGATGCCTGTAAATGCCTTTATGGTTTGCCTGCCTGTGCTGGTACCTGTGTACACTCGTCTGTGTGTGACTGTGGAGGCCATAGGTCGTCATGGGGTGTCTTCCACCATTGCTGCCGACCTAGTGTTTTTTTTTTGGAACAGGGTGGGGTTAAATCCTGAGTCTCTACTCCACATGCCACACCCTTCACTGGCTTTCTCTTTAATGAGCACCTATGGGAGTTTGGAGATGTAAATAAACCAAATATCCCTTCGTGGTATGAGTAATATATCAGCACATGTGCAAGCGTGGGTTTCTGTGTGTGTGTGTGTGTGTGTGTGTTTGTGTGTGTGTGTGTGTTTGTGTGTGTGTGTGTGTGTGTGTGTGTGTGACTGTGGAGTCCAGTCATTGATATAGGGCGTGGTCTTCCACCGTCACTCCAAACCCTATTGTTTTGTTGTTGCTGTTGTTGAAGCAGAGTTGGATTAAATCTCAAGAGTCTCAATCGCCACATGCAGCATCCTTCCCTGGCTTCTCATTGATGAACACCTAGTGGTTTGTGAGATGTAAATCACCCAGAAATCCCTTCACGGTATGAATTTCTGAGCATGTGTGTGCTTGCTTATGTTTTTCTGTGCTCCCGTGCGTGTGCCCCTGCATGCAAGGCAGAGGTGCACATAGGGTGTCATCTTTCATTTCTCCCCACCTTCTCTTCTTTTTTGAGACAGGGTCTTCCTGAACCTATAGCTCCCCAATTAGGCTATACTGACTAGCCAGCAAGCCCTGGTAATTCTGATTCTGCTGATTCTAGAGTCTTCCTAGAGCCGGGATTACAGTCTGTCCTTTACTGGGATGACGGGAATCACAACTAAGGTCCTTAAACTTGAGCTTCAAGCGCGTTAATCTGCTGAGCCCTCACCCCTGTCCTACGGTTTTCATTTTGAGATTGCAAACTCCAGCATAGCATAACAACAAGGCTGCTTGGTGCTCTCTGATCATACTGACATCTTGACAGAGAAGTGGCATGCCAGAGTACAAAGTTAGCAGCAAAACATTCCCCTGCTCTTTTAATTCCTGTTGGGTTTTCTATCATTCCTTCTGGTCACTGTAGCCTTCTAGACCTCTGGATTTCCCTCATGCCTGTCCTATCACAACTTACACATGTTTCTCTCACCTTATGGAAACACCCTGCTACTACCTCTGGGGGGCTGTGTTGGTGAGGGAGCCAGTTTTTTTCATTTCCCTCCATCAAGTGGAAATGAACTTTGAAATGTAAATAAATGGAAGGTGGTTGTGACACATACTATGCAATTTTCAACTTAGTAATGCCTGAAGGATGTAGAACACATTATTATTTTTTAAAGGGTTAGCATTGGTGATACAACAAAGACATGGACCATGTATGAAGAACATGATCCAATGGCAGCAGAGAGAATGGCTTCTATGAACACAGACTACTGCTCCTGAAGATGTGGTAAATAGATGATGAGAGAGCTTTTGAGAATCAACAGCCTGAGATTAAAGACAAACCAGGAAAATAGTACTACTGAGCTTTATTTCCCAGTGTAGCCATACATAAAATACTGTAAAACAACTAGAGAAAAAAAAAACCCATTACTATTAGGATGCAGACAAATATGCCTATTACCATCAGTGTTGCTATGTATTGTTTAAGAAGTTCTTAATGGACTGAGATCATAAGAGATAAAAATCTACCATACTTGGGCTAGAGAGATGGCTCAGTGCTTAAGAACACTGATTGTTCTTGCAGAAGACCCGGGTTTTAATTCCAGCACCCACATGGCAGCTAACAACTGTCCATAACTCCAGTTCCAGGGGATCCAACAGTCTTCTCTTCTCCACGGGCACTGCACAACACGGGTGCACTTACCTACGTGCAGGCAATACATGCATACACATGAATTAAAAATAATAAAATATTTTTTAAAATCTACCATACTGGTTAAAACATTAAAGTGACATGAGTTGTGGATGATATAGTCTGAGGTAAACCTCAGGAAAGCATACAAATAATTTTTTGTAAACTGAATTATGTAATGTTGATATTTTCAACAATAGTTGCTTTCATACACACTGGAAACAATCATAATAGAAAAGACAGTGTTAAGACACAGACATTCACATGGGCAATATCAAATCACCACAAAGCAAATAAATACCAAGAAGTCCCAAAACATGATGAGGGCTTAATGATAGTAAAAAATGTTGAAAGCTCTTCTGAGAGTTCTGAATGATGCCCTAATTAATGGAGAAAGCACAGGCTAGCAGATTGGGCTAAGGTCAGGGAGACTTGGGATATCTACAACTATCAGTTTGAAATGACAAATGGTCATCGATGTCCTTCAACCTGGGAAGGCAACAGTTTCAGAGACAGAGATCGGAGAAAAGCTAGCCACCAATATACAAGACCACATCAGACGTCATCTTTGTCTTTGGATTCAGAGGTCCTCTTGGTGGTGGCAAGACAACTAACTGGCTTTCGCATGATTTGTGATTCCTTGGACTGTGCAAAGAAAACTTAGCTTAATCAGACTTGCAGGACATAGCCTGTACGAAAAGAAAAAGATAATGGTGCAAGCAACGCAGGACCAAAATGAAGAGGATCAGAGTAACTGGCCAGTTTTGGTGCTGGCAAAAAGCAAAACATTTGATTCTTCAGTGGCTTGACCTGCCTTCATGGTGTATATTTCTAAGGCAAGGACAAATAAACTAACGAAACTTCAAAAACAAAAACCCAAGAATTGTTGGGGTTTTGTTTCAAATGTGTTTCTTTTCAGAATTTTACAAAATATTAGAGGTATATGGCAATGGTTACTGTTGTTTTAAAGAAATGTGAAGGTCATTTTTAAGAGAATAGCCTTCTAAGTTCTGATTTGTTGAACTTTAGTTTTTTTCTCTAATAATCTGGGTGAATCACAGATCTCTGTGGTTGTAGACTGTTAGCAGTACCAAATGCAAGGTGTAAGGTACCCTTATGCTTCCATTCTTTTTTTTTCCTCTTGTCTTTTTGAGACAGGGTCTCCCTGTAGCCTGAGTTGGCCTGGAACTCACTATGTAGACAAAGCTGGTCTCGAATTCACAAAGATCCCCCTGCCTCTGCCTCCCAAGTGCTGGGATTAAAGGTGTGTGCTAGCATGCCCGGCAATGCTCCCATTCTTGTCTCTGGGCTTTGCCAGGTTACTCTTACCATTCAGTTTGACAATAACAAACATGAAGCAATCAGAGGCTTGAAACAGGTTGTCCCAGGGATTTGCCTGCTGTTTAGTGCTTGAAGCACCATGGCAACAATGTAAAGAAGCACAGCCTGGCTGGACAAGGAGAGATGCAGGGCCTATTCATCCCACTCAGGCCAGCAGATAGCCTGCCAATCAGCAGCCTCCCAACAAATCAAGGAGACCATCGCAGACCATTTCTCCAACAACAGCTCAGGTAGCCCACAGGGTAGTTGTCACAGATGCTTAAGTAAGCTGAGCCAAGGACAACAGGAAAAGCACTCATTGGAGCCCAGCTGAAATTGTCTGCAGAAATATGAACAAACTAATGGATTACTGTTTTAAAGCAGTATCTTATGAAGCACTTTGTCATGTACTAGGAGCTACCTGATGAAATATTTAACTGTGTTCAAAATGCAACCCAAAACAGAGAGAAAAATAATTGTGCGAGTCTGAATTTAATGTCTGCTTAAAGAGTTTGTCACTTCAGGAAAATGGAAAGAATACACATAGATAAAGGAAAATAAAGAACCTGAAAGAGGGGGATAGTTGGGAACAGATGTTACTAAGGGAAACATCTGGGGTGGGGAAAGTGGGAGTGTTTGGCTGGGAGGGGAGGAGGGAGGAACATTCAGAGGGCCACCATGGCTGAAGAAGGAAACTTAGGCTCTGGGGGAAGGTGAGAGGCAGGTGTTATTGGGAGGAGGGTGGGGATATGGGGTCACTGGGGCTCGGATGGGAGGAGGAAAGTGGGATGGGAGGAAGAGAGAGTAGAGATGAATGGATCTTCGGGGGACTAGAGAATCCAGAGGGAAATGTGTTGCCCCTAAAAAAAAACCCTGAGAAAGGCACATACAGTGTCTGAAAAGCAGCGCAGTGCATATGTGTA